ACTGGCCGAAAGCCCAAGTGCACATTGAAATTGATTTATACATTATAATTTCTTAAATTAAAATCTTATACTTAATTGGAGTAAGACATACATCACTACAAATAAATAGAATTAGATGCACCTGACTAATTAATGTACGCATTGTACACAACAAAAAGAATCAACCATAATTCCTATGATTTGGAAACAAAAGGAAAAAATAATTCCTATGACTTAACAATATCATAAGATTTTGTTTTTAAAAACACTTTGTGTATAAATCATTTTCTTAATTTCAAGAACTATTTTTATAAAAATTATAATTGTTTTTTGGTATATTGAATGATGGGTGAGTTATATAATAAGATTTAATTCTTTTTTTTTAAACTTCTTTTAAGATTTGAATTTAAAATTTTTAATGTAAAGATTCAAATTTTTAACTATTAGTATGTCCTCTAAGAGATACAAAAACTAGAATTTTTTTTATTAACTTCATATATTTGAAAAGCATTCTGAATATCGATTTAGAATTAAATCACGTTAAATCTTATAAGGAAAAAGTTTTTTTAACATCTGACTTTTTATTTACAAGAATCTTGACACCTTATTTAAAAGGTATTAAAATTTTCATTTAGACTAATAAATCAAAAAAAAAAAAAAAACTAGGATTGTTTTGACATTTTACTTCATTAAAAATAGTTATTTGCACATTGATATTTGAATGGAAAGTGTGTATTACAACTTACAGCTAACTACAGCTTGCTAGAACCAGTATGAAAATATCTAAAACAAGATCTTCCTCATACAAAATGCATCTTAATGCAGGAATTTGCTCTCAGTTGCCCAAAATGCATAATATCTGCTTTAAGCAAAAAAATCAAAATTTTGCCAAGTCTACTAATTTTTCCTTGCACAAATAGGAAAACATCAATGTCCCCACGTTCTGAAATCATGTCAGATTATTTAGAATTGGATGCTAGAATTGGATGCCCTTCAATTGTCGTCTCTGCCCACTCACCCACTACCAACTGAGTTGTCACTTGTCAAAATATTAGCTCACCCGTGTCCAATGCATTAATTATTCGTTTAATCTGTTTAAATTCCAAACAAATTCAACAATGCATTTATTGAAAGTTATTTCTTCATCTCAAATTGTGGTTAGTAAAAAAATAAAATGTCAATTTCCAGTGTATAACGGTAAAAGCGTACTTGGTCCAGTATGCATGCATCTTTTCGCTTTTGTATTATTAGGACAAGATGGTTAAAGCCACTGTTAGAATTGTTATAAATTTTTTTAAAAATTTTGGTTATATAATAAAAAATAATTTTTTATTATTTTTACTGTATACGTGGCATCCACGTGTGCAAAAAATAAGCCACATCATCAACAAAAGGGTTCTAAATTGGATTACTACTGCCACGTAATGTCACGTCA